GTGATTCGTAAACACTCGCCTACAGATGGACCGGGTGGCCCCTATGGTGGGGTGTAGTTTAAGTTCTTGTGGGACCGATTGCGAACACCACGGGAGACAGCTCAGGGGGATGGTGGAGAACGCCTGTTCTACAGTGATCCAAAGCTTCAGATCTGCATGGTGACACCAATCTAGCACTCTGGCTAGATGGCAAGCCGTATAATAAAGCGACGCGTCCGGGAGTGCCATGCCACCATGGTCCTTCGGTAGGCGCAGTAAGGAAAACTTAATACGCGGGGGTTTATAGGCCCACAGGAATTGAAAAAAAACCCTGTTTACGCTGCTCAGAAACCAGGTAGGGACACGAATCGGCAATGTTTGGAAAAGGTATAAAAGCCAAGGCATAATAGACATCTTGAGAATGTTACATCTCCCGAACGAGGAAAAGTTTTTGGCATTCCAACCCAATAGGTCCTGTCTTATCTTACACAAAAGGGAGGGGAAGTTGACAGCGAACACATCTGTCAGGCGTCTCGGGATAAAGGTGCCCAGGTATGAAATCGCGGAGTCCGACCAGCGGAAGGGAAAAGACGTCTGTAGGGCTGAAACCGTACGAGTGGAAAGAGAAAAGTTGAGGGCTTCCGATTTAATGTAGTTGCATATAATGCTTTAAAAGCACAACTTTACTGTAGCTTTCTTTTTTAAATGCTAAGAAATAGAGATTTTTTTTTAGCAGAAGAGACTTTGCATGTTTCTTCTAAAACACCATTACCCTTTTGCCTAGCAATTGTTAAGGTGTGGTCACCGCGTGCAGCCCATTGTACACCCTTGCTCATCCCCAACATCTTTTAGATGACAGGAAAGCAGCAGGGTGCCAAGGGCTATAAAACTATCACAGGTACTGCGGCTGCCTAAATACAGTAGCCAACACTGAAGCTAGGCCGGTACAGTATAGTTAGCACTAGTCTGTATCATTGTTCTGATGATCACTTTCCTTGACACAATATTGTCAGAAAAGGATGCAGTCTGTATAATAATATAAAAAACTCCCCTTGGCAGACAAAATATGCCCTTTTTTTAGCCTTCCAGTTAGAAAATGTTCTAATTGGAAGGCACACAATTTTGGCACTGGTTTATAAGGAATACAAGTGGCTTCAAATGCTGCAGCCAGATTTTGAAAACAAATAATATACTGATTGAGTAAGTACAGAGAGAACCTCATATATAACCCCTATTGGCCATTATGGTAATATCATCTTGTTAGGAATGTCCTAGCTACATATCTTAATCAGTTTGTGGATTATTTGTGCACCATCTGTGTATTTCACCCCCCCCCCCCCTCACGTAAACTCCCCCCCCCCCCCTTAAATGAAAACCACAGTGGGAAAATCCAGTCTAATTTAACCACACATCGTGCATAGAGTACCTGGTAACTGTTTTTAGCCCAAAACTCACAGGCTCACTCTATGTAACGTGTACTAGCAAATAATTACTGCTTTGGCACAAAATAAAGAGATGGCACCTTCTAGAATAACAACAAGCCATTGCCTCATTAATTAATATAAATATATATCTACTCGTAATCATGCACAATTAAGAGTTTAAAGTCTACAGCATTAGATTATTAATTACAAAATGGTTAATTGATTTGAAGACAACAAACTGAAATGAATGTTCAATAAAAAGAAATGATACTTTATGAGGTATTACCACAATTTGCTGCAACTGTAGAGAAAGTCTGTTACATTGTGGTCGTCTTTGTTTTCTCTTGCATGTTAAATAATCTTACCACATTTGTATTTTCAGAACCTATACCCTATAAGCCCTCTTTATGGCTCTTTAACAACATTATTTAAAGTAAACCTATATTTAGCAAACTAACACAGACTGTACAGTAGGCACTGTAAATTGGCTACTATTATTTTTAATATGCTTTCTTGCATTCCCACTCTACCGCTGCAGCCCCCTGAAAGTCCTATTCCAATAACTTTCTGAAAGTTGGTATGTGCCTAGAATTAGGTTTGCCTCCCACATGTAAAAGTGCTAGAGCTGGGCAGGGCCGCCGTCAGGGGGGTACGGCCGACACTTAAGTACGGGGCCCGCGAACCTTCCCTATAAATGGCCTGGATGGGAAGGGGGTTTAACACCGCGGATGTCAACTGGTTAAAGAGTGTGTGTAATTTTTGTTTTTTTTGTTAATGAAGCTATGTGTGTGTTTTTAATGAGTGTGTGATATGTGTGTTTTTTTTACCATGATTGCTGTTTAAATACAAGCGATCCGGCGTCTGTATAGACGCCGGATCGCTTGTACAATACGGCGCCGTGTCCCCCTCTGCATCTGCCGGTGCTGCCGTCAGCTTCCTGGGCTCATCTGTCCCTCATGTGAGCCCGGGACCGGTGTGGAGGGTCTCCCCTGACAGATCGGAGGAGACATGAGCAGCTTCTAGCCACGGATCTGTCCTCCGATCACTGGACATCGGAAGTGAGGTGCATTTCATCACTTCTGGTGTCACTTTACACAGTCTCCGGCTCCTAGAGCAAGAAGAAGAAGCTGAAGCAGATCTCGGCTTCATCAGCTTCTTTGGGGTCCCTAGGTGACACTAGGGGTCTGCAAGACCCCTGATGTCTCCATAAAGAGGACCTATCACATTATATTTGCTATTACATAGGGGACTTGTTAGCCCCCTATGTGATGGCAATGAAGCTGCGTGTGAAAAAAAATTTTAAAAATTAAAATAACAATAAAAAATTAAAAAAACATTTTTGTAACCACTTGAAGTCCGCGGTGTTACACCCCCTTCCTGGCCAGGCCATTTTTCAGTATTTAGCGCTGCAGTACTTTGAATGACATTTATTCTGTCATGCAACGCTGTACTGAAACTAATTTCGTACCATTTTTTGTGGACTCATAGAGCTTTCGTTTGGTGGTGTTTAATATT